TAAACGTAATAAAGGCGTGGTTTTTTCAGAGGAAAAAAATCGCATTCGGTACTGATATCGAAACTGCACTCGAATGCGATATTTTCCCTCTGAAAAACACGCCTTTAATACGTTGAATTTCCTTGTCAAATTTGGTACACGAGTTCTTCAGTCTCATGACAACAGAAGTGCGATCTCAAAGTTCGAAAAACATGACAAGTAGCTGAAATTATGGGACAAATCGATGCGATGTATCGCACGTCGCTCTGACACAAAAAATGGCCTCCATCGAATCAACTTCAGGGCTAACAATGAGCCGATAAAAAGGATCACGAAACCACCCTCGGACAACACAGAAGATACACATAAAATTAAGGTACCTACAATTTAACTAAAAGCTGTCGTGATAAATGGGGTGAAGATAAAAAGACATGAACAGAAAAGTTAGAAAAGAACAATTCCTAGCAGCAACGACCGTATGACGTTTAACATTTAACAAATACCCCTAAATTAAACTGTCGCAAATGATCTTCGAGAAATCCAATTTGAAAACTAAGAATAATTTAAGCTTAAACTAATTAGATATCTCAAAGGTGTTCTCAAAGTTAGCTTCAATTTATTAGAAGGGATTGGGCGATACTGTTATGAAAGGATTACTAGAAAGAATATTACGGCGAAGATTTTAAGCACATTTCACTTAAATTAACCTCTAACACATTCTACTGAAAGAGATACCCAGGAAGAAGTGTCTGTTACATTAATTGCACCTCATTTAGCAAAAGGGAACCAGCGCGATTGCAATGTATTAAAATTGATGCTTCTTCATGGTCATCTAAAAAAATCTCCCAGAATAGCAGATAGTTTTAACTCCCCACCAAAAAAATAGTGGATTTCGATGAAAAATAACGGTGTAAATTTTCATACTGTACGAATATCAAGTATTATAAACATTAAAGAAAAAGTCGCACGGATTTGAAAACACTGAAATCGCGCTGGTTTCTTTTGGCAAAATACGGACCAATTTGGACAATATTAGATGGGTTGTAAAAGAAATTGACAATTTTCGGAAAATATATAATTGAAACAGTCGTTGATGCTAAAGATTGAGAAACAATAAAAAGAAACTCACGGTCGATGCTGAATGCTGGAGCCATAATAACACAAAAATACAACGAGCCGAAAAAGACACGAAAATGAAAACTTAGGATTATGCACGAAAAAAGTCCAAATAGGAAAAACGACGGAAATGACACGAAAATTAAAACTTAAGACACTAAGACACGGAAATCAAAACTAGGAGACTTAAACACGAAAAAAGTCCAAATAGGAAAAACTCAGAGTCACTAGAAGGCGAACTTAGCAAGAGGAGTCCAAACAGGAAACAACTGCACTGAAAATCAGCAAGGCGCGTAGCGGAAACTGGCGATAGAACGAAGGCACACTGACAAGGCTATCGGTAAGGCAAGTCGAAACGATTCGAGCGCTGATCGGAGCAAACTGATTGCGCGGCGAAAAGTTCGCCCTGGCTCGGGGATGCAGGCCGGGAAAACAACCCCCTCCCCATCATCATCTCGTAGGATGCGCCTCGGGGGCGGGGCTAACTCTGGATCGCCGATCCGGGGCGCGCAACCCCTTCCCCTCCGTCGTAGCGGCCGCGATCAACAAGTGCACGTAAATCCAGATTTTTGGGAACTCATAATTCTGGCGTGCTAAGGAAAAACGCCGTATGAGTCTTCAGACGCTGCAAAGATCTACTTTGATAAACTACGGATTTTCTGGGGAACTAGTGAATATTCTCCTTTCAATTTTTTGTATATTTTTATTTTCAATTTTATCTAAAATAGCTGAAAATTTCAAGAAAACATAATCACAGCCATTCTCAAAAATACATACTTAATCGCGAGAGACTTGGCAAAATTCGAATGTTCATACGGCGTTTTTCTTCAGCATGGCAGAGTTGGGTCGCATTTAGCGGAGAGGAATCAAGCCACATGCCAAATTTAATTCGGAAATTATATTTTTTACGAGAGGACGTTTATGCAGATCTCTGCAGATACAAATTTCCAGTAATTTGCTTCGTACTATGGGAAAAAGTCACAGGAATATGTACAACCGTTTTCATGTATAAAATCGAATTGCTCAACTACATTTGGCAATTACTGATGTGACTTACTTCCTTTCCCCTGGTAAAAATTGGCGATTGGAGCTGCGTTTCAAAATACCATAGGAGTTCTTAAAGCCGACTAAAGAAGGCTATTGAAAATCATATAGCTGGCTGTAGAAAGCAGAGCAAATCATACAGCCGGGCTATACGAAGCTATAAAAAAGTATACAGTCGGGCTAGTTCCTATTGCCGGGCTTTACACTTTATCGCCATTGGCTATAAAAGGCTATAAGAAATTGTGTAGAAATTCGTGTGCTCTGGAAATCATTAAGTTTGATACGGAACTACCTTAATATTTACACAACACACATTATATTTTCCTTTAAAACATTTTTTTATTCATCAATTAAAATGAGAATAATCCATACAGAGTGTGCAAAAATTTCAAAATCATGAGTTGAAAAACGCTGACTCCGCGAGACTAAATATTAGAGCCCAACACAAAGCGGAGCGGCGACGCACTGGCGCTTACAAACCTAACAGGGATACTTCACGCATTGCGCAACGCGTGAAGTATCCCTGTTAGGTTTGAAGGCGCCAATGCGCGTTTCGCACTCTCTGCCCGCCCGCCGCGCCGCGCCGTAGCGTACCACGGCGTCTGAAGCAACTATTTCACACCAGATGTATTGCACAGTATTAAGAATGACAGGCATCTTTCAAAAGTACGGAGCTTTCCTCGCAAAATAAGTCAAGATACTACGGCACAAAACGAGAGCGGTAGTCCAAAAACTAACTAAGTCCTAGTATCCGTTTTTGTAACGTTTAGCATAAAATGTATCGTCTGGCTATTGCTTAGTCTCCATCGGCTGTAAAAGGCTAAAAGAAATTGTCCAGCCGGCTACAGAAGCTATTGGAAATCTTACAGCCGGCTTTAGGTCTATGGTATTTTGGAACACAGATTCTACTACCAATTTTTACCAGGGTCTGCTTAACGCGGTCCAATTGGATTGTATTTTGCAAAAAGGAACCAGCGCGATTACAGTTGTTAAAATTTACTCTCTGATAACAGAATATCAATGGCTAACGTGCGAAAGCACGTACCTTCATTGCGACGTTTCAAAATCTTTGTTCCTATTTTCTTTTTTCGAAGAGACACAAGCCAACTTTTTAGCTTGAAATTTCTACGAAATATTCTGCTAATAAAGGAGAAATATCAAGGAAGTTTTTAGGAAATGAAGTCGACTACTTTCCCTAAGGAAAAATAAAAGTACGGCCGGGAGTCTGCGACGGCGCAAACTGAGATACGTGGTTTTGCACTTTCGCCATCGAGATTCTGTAAAAAATTCAAGATGCCTTGTTTCTCGGCGAATAAATATAATCAGTGTGGAAATTTTGAAACACTGCAAAGGAGATACGTGGTCCTGCACTGGGCCATAGATATGATAGATAGATATTTCTAAAATTTTTGCTCCGCCGACGAAAGGGTGTATCTTTACTTTCACGTGAGCTCTGGCACACATGGAATTATATGTATGGAACATAAGTCTCAACTCGAAAGCAGTTATGCCTTCATGTCAGAGGAGCAAAGAAATGAGCAAAAGGGGAAAAAATATTTCCTCATTGTAGAACATATACAGGGTGTCTAGTATTTTTTAATTTTGAAAAATCCTGATATTTTCCTGATATTGATATTGTATAAAAAATTCCTGCATTTGTTATTTTGAAAATTCCTGATTTTTCTCGACTCCTGGCACGGTAGGCAAAAAGCAGTAAGACTTTTCCACTGAGGAGATTCGCGTAAGAAAAATTCCTGATAAAACGTCCGATTTTTCCGATTTTCCTGATTTTTTCCTGATCGGCCAAAATTCCTGATATTTTCCGATTTTTCCAGTTTTTCCTGATGCTAGACACCCTGATATAGGCTAACTCTTTCCTTTCATGGAGCAACTTTATTTAATTATTCATTTATTTTTTCACAAGAGAACAGGTTGATCTACGTATATCACTATCTGTCGTATATTTGAGGGAATTTACTGGGCACCACTGCACCAAAAAGAAAATTCTCCGATTTTTCAAGAGAATGGTACAACTGCTATCTTGTATAAAACAAAAATTAATGTCCCATAAAATTTGACAGCAGCTGATGTCCTTCTGTTTCCCTCCAGGGAACACCCCAAATTGAATCCAATTACATTCTTAAATACATTACATATATTACATCCCAAAATAGGTAGCTCAAAAAGCCGGGGAAAAATTGAACCACTTTTCAGTAAAGAGAGAAGAGTTTGAAATATTGATCCAGAATTACCTGAATAATAAACAGTACCTGATTTTTCCCCCTTTTTCTGTTTTTCAGCAGAAACCAAAACAACATTCTGACATGGAATTTTGCAGTTATTAATTGTAATCTAAGTGAGATACGTAGGTAGAATTTCATAGAAAGTTTCAGGGTGGTATCTTGTTTACTTTTTGTTGAAGAGAAGGAGTCAGACGCAAGAGAAAAGAATAAAAAAAAACTACAAACACAAATTTTGAAAAGTCAAAATTGTCTGGGCTCTGAGTTTGGCCATCGTCAGCCTTTATCTGCTTACTTAAAACTAAGAATGTAACTCCATGCTTCAATTGACAGTAAGCACAAGGGGTCATAATGTAAAACAAAGTAATTTAAAATTAAAATATAAAATAGAATAGGAAAAAATTAATTGCACCAGTGGCGTGGCGTGGCGTGGCGTGAATTGCGATATATCGATTGTTATGCCATTTAAACCTATGAAAAAAGATCGATTATCAGGGTGTTCCCAGCGAACACCTTCGTAATCGATTCTTTACCATAGCTTCAAATGGCGAGATATCGATAATTGATTATTCACGCCACGCCACTGAATTGCACCCATGCAGGCAAGTTGCAAGTACTCACATGGAAATTCCAGCGCTGTTGTATGCAAACAGCTGATTACCACCAGGATCGAGTGCTTCAATCTATTCATCTTTCCAGAGTCCAGATTTTTCTTCTCATCTTGCAGCAGCTCCAAGTTGTGTCTGACAATCCATACTTTGTGAAATTCATTTTCCTGTGAGCCAAGCTTTATTCACCTTGGATGAGTTTGAGCGAAAAAGCTTCCACCTAAAGCCTTGAAAAATAAATTGACAACTGTGACCAATACTATCGATTAAAAGCAACAAGTTCAGATCGATAAAGCAAAGGAAATGCATGATTCTTATATAATAAAAATATTTCTGAGATAGTACCGGACTGAAGTTCTTTTATCATCAGGATTGTCACATTTACATCTAGGTAGCAAAGAGATGTAGTAAGTAAATCCTTCAACAAACATACTTAAAATCTGTGACTTTTGCACAAATCCATTCGAAATTGATTTTGAAACACTTATTCATTTGAGTTAGCTTTTGTCATTGCAAGATTTAGAGGTCCATGCTGAGCATACTAGCTATTTTTTATTTCCTCTGATATACTTAAGGACAACTGCAGATTTTACTGTAAAATTGATTCATATGGTTCAATTTTCCATTCAACTTTTCCTTCGAGGCTATTGTATGGAAATTTTTCCAGTTTAAATTATACGGTGAAAATCTTCATCTAATAAAGATGGAAGAAAATTTGAATGAAAAGTCGAACCGTACAAATATAGATTTGAGGGTTTCAGACACTAAAACTTTTCCAAATTATAAAACCACTAGCTGATTGAAAAAAGTTAGGACCACTTTCAAATCTTTTTGCTATGCACATACTAATTAAGTGTATGATTTTATAAAGGTACCCTAGCAACTTCAAAAGGGCATGTAAATTAGGGAGATTCAGTCTACAGCACAGGCCAACTCAAGACATTTTGTGCTTTGGCCGAAAATCCAAGGAGCGAAATACGCACTTGTATTATCTGTTATCTTCGATAGAAGTAAAGATTAAAATGTTAAACAAACGTTTGATGTCTCCTCCCTTACTGAGTTTGAGGTAAAATTAAATACTCATTACTCAAATGGAAAAAGTAACTGACGCAAAACCAAATTCACACTTGTGCAGTGGACTGACGCACGCTCAATTTTGATCCAATAAAGTAGGTAATTACGACAAAACCTTACAAGGATTAAATAAGTTGAATCTGAATACTGAATGAGAGCATACCTCGTGCCGAACAAACATTGGCACTTTCCTCGAGATTTTAGTACATCGAAAAAGATGATCGGGAAAAAAAACTGCGCAACATGCTGATTCTGAAATGCGAGGGAAACTCAGATTACTGAGAGATGACATTGAATTTGAGAGGTATGAACACAAAATATATTGCCAAGAGGAGGCAAAGAACATTTTAAACAAGTTAAAGACTGAAACAGAAAATGTAATCGTGCGGAAATTCATGCCTTGCACCATGGGAAACTGAGGAACATACGAGAATTGATAACAACATAACCTATTAAATTATTGACTTTGTTTTGATTTTGAGAACAAGTCGCCAACATGATAAGAAGACCTTACACTTTCGTACGCTTCCTTCCAGGGTTTTTTCTTGAGTAACAACAACGAACTTCGAAATTAAGCTAACTCTTAAAACAGCTTCTGTCTCTCATAATATAATATTATCACTAAAATAAAAGAATAGTTCGTTATTTTGTTCACTATTGTAGAAATAATGGAGGACAAAGTGAAAGTTTTGTCAGTGGGTAAATCGGCATGGGTTGGCATTAAAAGTTCGAGTAAAGTGTGTGGGTGATAAGAAGATGTGGAGGCGAAAGTTTAAGTATTTACTATCACATTTTATCGACTTTTATGGCAGTGATTGAGAGATTTAATACTGTGAGTGAACCCGTGATATTTGAATGATGGCTTTGACAAGGTAAGAATTTGCATGCATTTGTATCTTTAGTCTCAGTTTAATTGGATGTTGTTTGTCGCCAACATTATTTAAAATTTATCTCGAGTGCGTGCTAAAAGAATGGAAAAAGAAATGCTCTGGTATGGGTGTCCCCTTGGGTGATCTCGAAACTCTGTTTACTCTGTGCTTTGCTGATGACCAGGTGGTGGTTGCTCAAGATCAAGATGACGCGGAATACATGATGCGCAAGCTAGTAGAAGAGTATCGGAAGTGGGGTCTGGAAGTCAGCATATCCAAATCTGAGAAGATGACTTTTGGCGGTGATCAGCAAAGCATTGAGTTGGAGGATGGGCAGCAGATCAAAGGCTGCGAGCACTTTAAGTACTTGGGAGTGCGGTTGACCCAGGATGGAAGGACGGATCAAGCTATCAGGGAAAGGAACACCTTAGCAAGGAAGGCTATAGCGATGTTAAATGGAATCCTCTGGGATCAGCGGATTTCCAAGGATAACAAGAGGAGGATATACAACGCTGTAGTCAAAAGTATATTAACATACGGATGTGAAGTTTGGCAGCTGAAGAAACGGACACAGGATATGCTAAGAGCAACGGAGATGGATTTCTGGAGAAGGTCAGCAGGAATTTCTAGGAGAGATCGGGTCCGTAATGATAGAGTGCGTCAGATAATGGAAGTCGAAAATGACATCGTGTTCGACGTCATGACCAAACAACTTGTTTGGTATGGTCATGTCAATAGGATGACGGAAGAGAGGCTGCCAAAAAAGATGCTTGATTGGGTTCCTCCTGGGAGGAGACGTAGGGGACGCCCAGTGAGAGGTTGGCGACAGGGGGTGTTAAATGAGATAAGAGATTGTCAACTCCCTGATGACCTGTGGGAAGACCGAGCTTTGTGGCGATTAGGCGTCGCACAGCGCCAAAGAGCGCTATAAAAGCGACTCATATATATATATATATATAATTGTAAACAAGAGTTCCATTTCGGGGTATTTGGAGAAAATTCTAGTTACACACCTATTTTCATCCCAAAAATTTACGAAAATCATGATGAGCGTGAAGATGTTTGCCAGAATTTGAACTTCAAATATCCATTCTATAACGAAGTGACCTTCTCTTCATGCTATCCAGCTCTAAAGTTTTATCTTGCTTGTAGTCCCACCTCCACGTCGCTTGAGGTGACTATTTTGATATCGCTCATGAGAGGTATTATTATTATGCTGACTCCAAAGAGGGACTCGGTTGTCTGTAACCTTTGATAAGTTGAGTCCAGTTTATTAGACGTATAATAGTTTACTGCTGGCTCTTCACTCTAGAGTTCATCGCGCGTGGAACCCATCTTATTTACCTGATTGTTTTCTTTCCTAGTAGAGATTTTCGACAGGAACATTTTGAAACTTCTCCATGTTTGTACCAGCTTTTGAGCTTTGAGCAATAACACAATCTATTCTTGATTTTTAAACGCCAAAGCCTATACTTTATTGGGAGTGTAGGTAAAGCAGAAAGTATATAATGCTTAAAATGATCTCTAACCATGTATAAATTCTATGACTCCTCCAAAAGCACGGTGACTCCAGACATGTTATACATGTCTAAGGAAAGGGGGGCCTCATCACTAAAAAACGATTACTTAAACCTCTGCATTGAGGGGTTTCTTATCAAAATATCAACATTTTCTCTTCGTTGTATCTCACAGGGTCATTCACTCCCAGCTGTCGCCTCCGTTCCTCCGGAAGTCGTAAAAATTTCCTGGGTTGCCTTCTGATATTTTTGAGACCTTATGAAATCCTATCATGGTGTCTTCTGTAAGCTGTACTAATTTTTTGAGCAACCATAATTTCCAGGGAGGGATTTCTCAGGCTTGGCTTCACGAAATTCTAGTGAATTTGTCCGTGAGGGCTGTTTGAAAAACACGAAGATGTATCTAAATAAATAAAACCTGCAAAGAAACATTGATTTGATTTGTTTCAAGGCCTCACATAAGATTTTATGCGTGTTGAGGCTGGCCTCTGAATTAAATACGTCATCATTGATTGTTTTTATAAACTCATTCCGCTTCTTAGTGCTCCGATTCGATGATCACCGAATCCTGAAGCAATCGGCAACGATAGATATATAGTCGCTCTTTTGACGGAAGAACGTATCTCAATTTCTACGTGAGCTCTGTTCTCCGTATAATTCTATGGTTTCCAGGACTCATTTGGAAATACCTATAGCTACGCACTTATGTTAAAAGAGGGATGATATTTGCCATAAGCTGTAGGTCCTGTCGCATCAGTTGATATATATTTCTAATTTAGGGGCTTGGAGGACAAGGCGCAAGTGCAATTTCTGCCATATCGAGAAATACAAGTTTGAAGTTTCAAAATTACATGGATCCTTATGGCGGGAAGATAGTTTAAACTGACTCTTGGATAAAAACTGGAATTTGGGAGCGAATTTTTCGCAGAACATACATAGACTATTTTTATTTGAAATAATTTAAGATCTCTATTTTTTCACGAACTGCTCTTTTGCGCCTTGTCCTCCAAGTCCCTCAATTGGACTTTTTCCTAACTTTTCAGCGAATTAAAAAAAAAAATATGCAAATATGTTGAGATGCTCGTTGAATTTTTTCCAAAGTGACCATGAAACGACTTTGCTGCATTCCTCGTTCCGAGATGAGAGACGGTCGAGGCGCATCCCTAATTTTAGGATGGCAACATTGTTACATATTTGCACATTCAAAGCATCATTGGAAAATTGACAATGTCGCGATAAAAGTCTGTAATATTTTACTTCATTGGCATAATAGGCAACGCTGAAATTAAGTTACGGTGTATGAGAAAGAAGCAGATCCTCCTTAGTTACTGTCGAATGCGACGAGCACTGTATACAAATTTCATTTTACCTCCTGGATGCACCTATTCGGTCTCTATGGATGTCCGTGCTGCATATTATGCGCGAAAGTGAAGGCGTTTTGACTCTCCAGGCACTCACTCGCGACGTGGCGGCAACAACGGCAGGCTTTGAGGATCCAATATGGCAGAGCGATTCTTCTCGTACATTTACACCGCAAAGATATCTCCTAAAAATGAATGGTTGCATACAGGCGTAGGATGCGAGTACCTTTTGTGCTTCAGTTTTGATATCGCAATGTGCTAAACAGGATTTGTAGAGCAACTGTACATGCTTAGGAGTTGTCTGCGAAATGGAAATGAAGGATTGAAATCACTGTGTCATTTTAGAGCTATGCAGTCCCGCTGCATGTGAAACGAGCCATTCGCGAGTTTTGACGTGAAATTTTCGACTGAAACTCCAAATTTTTATTGTGTAATTTTCACTTGTTCAAGAGTTGCACGGGTTGCTTTTTGAAGGAAATTTTTCAAGAAAATCAATGAAAACATCTCTAAAATCTTGACGTTTACTATTGACATCGATATGAGCTTTTAATGTTTTCACATTTTGTCCAAATCTTCGCATTGACCCTCCACTCAGCGCCGCGCCGCTGGTGAGGCGGTAAGTGTCTGAAGTCAAAACGCCTTCACTTTTGTGGGTATGCAATACGGACATCCATGGAGTTCGAATAGTTGCATCCAGGCGTTGTACTGATATTCGTTTAGTATCCGTCGTGTGCAACACTAACCGAAGCTTTGATTGTTTCTGTCGCACCGTAACTTTATTCCAGCGCTGCCTACTGTGCCAATGAAGGAAACTATCACTGATTTTTTTCGCTGTGTCGACAATTTTATAGGGCCCCCCTATCTAAACCCAGCCGCCAAGAAAACACACCTGGTCTTAAAAAAACCATATGCGTTTTGAAGCTTTTTACACCTCAAATAGACGAACCTGGTATGGGTTGAACCGGTGCGGTGGTGGAGTGCTAGACACCCAGATATTTAATATGTTTGTTTATGTCCGTTCGGAATTGGCTGGCAGGTCAGCGGATTCAGTTATTGTCACGGCTCAAATGACGTATCTCCTCGTCGGCTTGGATGCTCGGATTTCAATTTGAGATAAAGAAAAAATGAAAAGATAAGCAGTTCCGCGTAAAAATTGTGTGCCTAGCGGTACATTGATCATTACATGTAGGCGCCGTTCGAAAGTAGAAGTAACGAGGTGCCGGGGAAAAGAGAGAGAAAATGAATTAGACAAGAAAGAGAAAAGAATGAGACAATAAGGAAGAGAAAAGAGGAAGAAAATCAGCGACAAGGAAGTCGCCGATCTCCGCGTGCTTTCGTAAAAGTGCTCAGATCGCTAGATTTCGACTTAGGCGGATCTTGAAACTTCGACGGGCGACGAGGGTTAGGGATGTTCGCGCGCGGGAGGGGGGAGGGTTGTCCTATTTTTTAATCGCCCTGTATAAAACCGGACCATTACAGACTGCCGTGCTGAGGAAAGGATTCGTATAAGCCTTCAGGTGTTGCCGAATCTCCTATGATATAATACGACCTTTTTGGAAAAATTGCGGATATTTTTCTTCCAATTTTGACCGAAATTTAGTCTTAAACATCTGAAGATTTCAAGGAAAAGGATGCATAACTTTCTTCCAAAATATTTATCAGAGGAAATTTGGCAGCGTTACGAATGTTCATACGGCGTTTTTTCTCAGTGCTGCATAATATTTCGGAACCGCCTATGCATTTCGAAAAATTTCACACACTCAAACGCGAATCGGTAACACCTGAGGGCTTATATGAACTTCTGCCTCAGCACGACAGTAACGGTCTAGTTTCATAGAGCGTGATCCCAAAGTCCCTTACTGCGAGCACCAGACATCCTGGCATCACCCTCTAACTATTGAGAAAATTGAGATAGACTTGAAATTTCGTGAGTGCTCCTAGATTAAAGGAAACGACTTTGGGGACGCCCAAAGTTTTGAAGGGACCACCCTAAGAAGAGGCAAAAACCCTAGGTGCTGTAGAACTGGTGCGGAAGATTTAGATCACCCTGTATGCTACCGTGCTAAGGAAAAACGCCGTATGAACATCGAGAGTTGCCAAATCTCCCTTGATGAAACGTGTATTT